TTAGTTTTATTATTTTTTAAAATTTTGTAAATTAGCCGAAATATTTTCGAAATTATTTCGTTTCTTTCGCAATATTGTGAAATTATTTTATTTCGAAATAATTTCACGTCAATCGCAGTTATTTCGAAAGATTTTCAGTATGCAAAATCTTTCGCAATATTTCGTATATTTATTCTGCTGATGTAAATCTTTCATCATACTTACTTTTATTGCTTCAACAATACTTTTGATTGCATCCCGTAGATAGCCTAAACATATTAGACACTTAAAGTTACATCTTTGTAAGCAATGGCTATGATATCCATGCCCACATGTGAGAACATTACCGTCATTTGAACAGTTAGTATAGTTAGTACAATTGCAGTACAAATAATCATATAAAACACTAGTAAATGGTTTCCTAGAGGTAATGAAACCTCTAGGAAGATGGTGATCAGTTATTTCATAACCTAACAATGGCAGCTTATAAGAGTTAATATCATTATCAGACGAATTAAAAATTAAAGGATACAGATGACGTGCTTTATAGATCTTTGTAAAAACTTCTAAAAGCAACACAGCACACTTTCGGGATAGTATGTGCAATTGTTTCGGCTTATACGGATACTTCATAGAATTCACGAAATATTGGCGGAAGGTACTATTATCCCGATGCTGAAATATAAAACACGCCTCCTTCTGCAATTGACTTGCTGTGAAAAACTTGGCTGTGCATCATCGAATGATACTATGGACAGTTTCTACAGGACAATCGCTTAGAGATGCGAGATGATTAGTAACTAGATTCATCATTGGATGATTAGTATCCATCCAAAAAAAAATGTTAGAAAAAAACATCAAAGGGGAATGCTTATAATTTCTTCGATCAAATCGAAAAAATAAATCGCACCAACAATGCATACAAGCTTCTTCGTATGCCTGCCAGTTTCCTTCTCGATGGTGAGCCACGTAAACGTCAAGAACTAATGAAATTAAGTTATCTAAAAGATTGGTTAGTTATAAAAATTCTAAATTTTTGCATATGTGACCAAATTTTGAATAAATAACAGTAGATATATCAAGCTATGCCACACATATAAGATAAAGAATTAAATCTATTCTCCAAAGGCGCGGTTTTTTACCAAGATTCTTGTTTTTACCAAAAATTCCTTTGTAAATATCGTTAAAGAGAAACGAATTTTTCTTGTAAACGAGTTCACGACCATTTAAAGACACGTGGAGAGGACCCATAATAGGCACAAATGATGTAACGAATGGAGGAATAACTTCATTGTTGAGGAAAAGCCGATGCACAATAGCTTTACGAATAAAAAATTGACCAGGCCAATCCGCAACGACGGGAATTATATGGTTAGAAAGGTACTCTTGCATTAATTCTTGATTATGCACAATTCGAAATGCATTTGTATAGTCTTCTACATTTTTCAAATTTCCTCCGACGAAATCAAAGAGAATAGTATTCTGGATATGCTGATCACCTTTTTTTTCCACTAACCTATCGTTGTAACTGTGCAATGTTAGTCACTCTATAACTTCATCATCAGTACATCTACCTGTACAGCCCAGTTTACGTTCATTATAAGGAATGCCAAGGTTTATAATGAACCGTTCATTAAGATGTTTTATTATCAGCTCATCATCGAAAATTTTGGGGTTAAGCGCTCTATTACATGGTATTGCTGATATGGGACACAGATTTACTATTATAGTTGCCATATGTGCTGAACGAGACGTACTGGTAGAATCAGACTGTCATGGAACGTGAATATTGTGGTAATCGTCAATATTCAGCACAAAAGCCTTGCCAGAAAATTTTGAAAGAGCATTTTCAACATATTCCTCGTGAACATTCGAAGCTTTTTTCTTTCTTTTATCTACTGCTCTTGATGTTGTAGTTACACCAAGAGTTGTCATCGTATCTAACCCCTCATTACTTGTACCTACAGAATCTAAGTAATACGCTACATCGAACTTAAAAGAATTAATTTTAGTATTATTTAGTGATGCAAGAAGATAGCAGATGTGAACTATTAATTTTTTCATACGACTCATAGTTTGTTTGGTACGTTCAAGTGACCTAGCTACCGAATAAAGTTGATTGAGGAAATTTTCTAGATCCTTATTGGCTTGAAATACTTCTCGCAGTTCATCATATGAATAAATAGGGTTTTCTTTCTTCACATGTTCTCTCTCATAAAAGATTCTTGCCATGGCTTCTACAGCTCTACCGAGGTCGATCATACTTACCTCCTCATTCATGACTTCCTCCTCTTCCATTGTAGTTCTTGCATCTTCACTTGTAGCTTCCACTTCTTCCCTAGTTATAACTTCTACTTTACTAACTGAAACTCTTATTCGTTTGACTCCTCTTTGTAACGGATTTTCTACAAAATTCATATAACAATTATGACATAATTTACCACCTTTCTCCCACGTTTCCTTAATTAGATTATTCTTTTCTGTTTCCTCCCACTTTTCGTCTTTTAACGAGCGGAATTTTGACTCAGTGGTTGGGCAATTCATACAACGCTTAGTAGATCCTGACATTTTTTTAACTGGCAAATTTAATATGAAGGTTGAGGGATTCAGAGGGATTCAACTGATATTATTATAGTACAGCACGAAAGCTTCAAGTTATCTTATTGCACTTGGCTGGGTTCACAGAAGAGATAATCTACCCGGGCTTCCGAAAAAAGTATTGTAAAACGTAAAAAAAAAAACTTTAATCAATTGTGTAACGATCTACAAAATCGGGGCACTCGGGACGTTCCTACCTCGATTATTTTAATGATAAGCTACATATTAAAAATTTTAATCACGTGCATCGATATCCAGTGTTTAAAATTTAGTGTTCTCATGGTTCTCAAAGAACATTCAATTTTTGAGAACACTAATATTTAAAATAAAGTTCTCTTATTTGAGAACATTTTATTCTTTCGAAATGTTCTCAAAATTATTCGATATAATGAACTAGTATATCAAAAAGGTCATTTGAGTCGATTATAAAACTACGTATTTCATAAAATTAAGTAATGCTACAATAATTTTTAATTTGACTCAAGTTGGTGTAAAAGGTCTTGGGTTGGCTTTTTAATTTGGGTTATTAGAATTAACAACACTTTAGGAGCACTATAATGAACATTGAAATTTTTTTTGAGAACACTAATAATTTAAATTAAGCACTTTTGAGAATATGGGCTGCCGTCAATAGAAATCAAGCAGATTGACATTTTTTAAAAAAACAAATACCTTAACTTTTGCTACTCATATCTCAATACTATTCTCATGATTGAATAGTTAAAAGAAAGCTTAGATCTTAAGCTTTTATTTGATTATCCATTTATAAGATTATCTTCAAAATTCAGCGAGATATTAGTAGTGAAAGTTAAGGCATTAACTTTTTTTAAAATGTCAATCTGCTTGATTTCTATTGATGGCAGCCCACATATTTTTTACTTATCACAATAGTGATCACGAATTCTAAAGATATTAACCCAAAAATTTTTGTATATGTTGTGCCTCGATCGACCTAAATTAGAGTTAGAGTTAGGGTAGGAATTAGGGTATAGTTTAGGCCAATTGATGTCAATCAGTTAATGCCGGCCAAACAATCAACACCGTCCGGTCCGACTGGTGGAGTTTCTCTTGAATTAGTATAATAATTGTCTAATTTTTTTTTTTAAAGATAGAGCAAATTGTATACTTTAATGTAATAGAGCCATTTTTTCGATTTACGCTATTAATAGTATAAAATAGTGTAAATAGAAAAAATGGCTCTATTACATTAAGGTATACAATTTGCTCTATCCTTTAAAAAAAAATTATACATCAATTATTATACTAAAGCGTACCGAAAGTTGATATTATCCGCAGTAAATTTGATTTGTAACCAAATTTCCATTAACAATAAACGAAAAAAAATTAAAATCGAAAAAACTAATCAAGAAAATGAAATTGCACCAGAAAACCTTGTAAATTTTATTTTTAATGCTCTTCCGGAAGATTATAACTGATTATTTATTTGAATTCTAGCAACAAATGACTAGATAGTATTAATAAAAACTTGAGCCATTGCATAATTGAAGGATTATAATAATTTTAAAAGGCAATGGAATATTCCAAATACCAAGAAAAACCGTAATCATAATACTTTCTGGCTGTAATATATTACCGTTTATTGAGTTATTCGAAATAATAAAATGATTAATTTATTACTTATTATTTTGTTAATTTAAATTTTTGTTTGTATTTTTTTTTGTAAAGTTACAAGAATTTTTAATGCTCGATTGGGTGACGATTTTACCTGGTCATGCAAAAATCAATTTGAGGCACAACATATACGTATGATTTATTTTTTTTGTCTCATGAATTAACTTTGTATGACCCAAATTAAGTATTTTAATTATATCGATATACACTATTATAACAAATCTATATTAACGCATTCCCAGAAAGAAAAGATAACCATATTAAAGAAATGACCAAAATGTCCTCTATCGTCCTTAAAAAAACAAAAAACCAAAATGTGTGATATTTTTATCAGGCTTCAGCATCTGCTTCACCAATAATCCTTAAAAAGACTTCTTCCAAAGTAGTTTGACTTAATCCCCAATCATCTATTCCATATTCATTTTTATGAGCTTCAATTTCTCTAAATAATTTAGTAATTAAACCATTTTCAATTTCAAACTCATATGATACATTTGTAACAAATGAATCTAATTTTTTGGAATTTGCAGGTAATAATGATTCAATAAACCTTTTTGTAAAAAAAAATCATTAGAATATATAATATTTGAATAAATAAACCGAATTTTTTGAATAAATATTTTTTTAAAAAAACTTACTGTGTAGCAGCATCAACATTTTTAGCTTTACATGAGAAACTCAACTTGAATCCTCTTCCGTAAACCTCTTTCAATCTTAATTGTGGTCCTAAACATCTTAAAGTTCCTTTTGCCATAATTCCAATTCTATTACATAAAACTTCTGCTTCCTCCATACTATGTGTGGTTAATATAATAGTTCTACCTTTTTTTGCATCATTAATAATGTTCCAAATCAATCTTCTAACTTCTGGATCCAATCCTGTGGTTGGTTCATCAAGAAATACTACTGCAGGGTTACCTATTAAAGAAATAGCAATTGAGAGACGACGTTTTTCACCACCAGAAAGACCCTTGGAAAGACGATTCTTGAATTCTTCGAGCCGAACTTGTTGAAGAGCTTGTAATATAGCAGTTTGTTCTTGATTGACAGGAATACCTTTTAGACGAGCATAAAATAATAAATGTTCACCTGGAAAAATATAAAGATGAATACTTAAGCATACAAAATTCACACAAAAAATTCACACAAAAAATTCATATAAAAACACGTAAATAAATTTTATATGCTTTTATTTACCAACTGTTAAATCGTCCCATAAAATATCATGTTGAGGACATACACCTATGGACATATAAACTTCTCGCATATTGGTGTAAATATCATAGTTATTTATTATTGTGGAACCCGAAGTCGGTGGATATAATCCGGTTAAAATACTAATTAACGTTGTTTTTCCTAAATATTATAATAAAATTATTATTAATAGATAATATTAATAACTGATTGAAATGAACGAATGAATATTTACCTGCTCCATTGGGTCCCAAAAGTCCAAAGATTATATTCCTATCAACAGCAAAAGTAACTTCTTTAACTGCTAATTTTCCATTTGGATAAATTTTTCTCATACGTTTCATAACTAATGGAGAATCTGGATCATAATTATTTTCAAGAACTCTCTTTCTTTCCTCTTTAACATCATCATCTTCAAATTGTATTTCATTTGAATCAATTTCTGCTTTTCCTTTTTCAAGTTCAACAATATCCTTATTTTCTTCTTTCTTTATATCTTTTTTACCACGATTTCTTATCATATTATATGGTTCAGTAAATATGAAATACCAAGGCTTAGCAATACCATACTCGCTAGGTAAAACGTTAGCCAAATAAATCGTTAAAATAAATATAAAGAAATATTCTACCACCATAAACATTATTGCATTAAAAACTTCATTCCCTGCAACCAAAGCACTTAATTTATATGGAGGAGTAATTAAATTAACACTAGAAGTATTAATAATTCCCAAACATCTATAAAAAGCAAATGGAGGCCATAAAAAATATGCTAAAGGAGCAGAATCAAGACCAGTATATAAAGAACCAGCTGCAAAACTAACAATAATTCCACATAAAACAATTAAAAAAGTAACAACTAAAGCAATTCTTGATTTTGAAAAAAAACAAGAAAAGAAAAATGCTAAAGCAATTTCAACATGACCCCAAACAAAAAATAAAATAATATAAACACCTGGATCAGTTTTTGTAAATATTTCCATTTTAAAAATTAATCCAGTGATAACAAATACTAATGTCGTAATAATATGTACTGAATAGAAATGTATATAATGAGTAAGGTAATAAATAAAACTTTTTAATCCATTCATTTTCATCATAACTAATATTCTATCCTCTTTTTCTTTTACTAAAGTAATTACGAAAATTGGTAAAAGGAATGAAACACCAAATGGATATAAAATTCCGCCAATTAAAGTTCCAATTGGAACCTTGATTTCAGTAGAAGATACTTGTGGCAATACTCGATACATTGGAGTAATACCAATAGTAGTAGGACCACCACCATTAGTTCCATTAACAGTTCTTATTATACCATTACTTAAATCACTTTGTTGAGCCACTCTCCTTAAACCTTGAGATGGAAAAGATGCAGCAGCAGAAATTCTAATATCCGTACCAGTTTGTAAAGTATAATTCCATTGTTTAGAAAAATTATTTGCTGAATCAAATAATATATTTCCCCAAGGCATTTTTGTTATTATTCCTGCAATTTTTATATTATAATTTAATTGAATAGAACTTGTCGGATCATTGTTCCTTTGATTTGGTGGAATTTTAGGTATTTTAGCCAATTCGTTGATCACATTATGAATACTATCACTTAATATATCATCATATGCTTTATCTAATTGATCAATATCAGGATACGAGTTGCTGTCAAGTGGTTTTTGAAAAAATGGAACCGGTAAAAAGTTTTGAACTTGAGCTGATAAGGTTGAATTACTTATGGTAATATTAACATAATAATTTGTGTTAATGTTGCCTAAAATTCCAAAATCGCCGGGATAAGTTACATTTGAATTATTAAAGTTAGTGATAGAAGAGAGTGGATCATGAAGAGGTTTTAGACCAACATTTAAACCTGGTGCTTCACGAACGTTAAACCATGGATAAGTTTGTATTTGACTTAAGAAAGATAATAAAGGGGAATAGCTGAGTGAGAAACTATTTAGCCAAGGATAATTGGGTGGATCCGGTTTGAAAGTTCTATTATAATAAACAAAATAAGATCATAATAATAAGCATAAATCAATAAAAATAAAGAATATATATACAAAAAAAACATACGTATCATGTCTAGTAGAATTGTCGATGCTTTTAGCAACAGGAGGTTGGTAAGGCAAAGCAGCCGGATAATCGTGACCAAACACGAACACACAACTCTGAGGGCCACCCGGCAAGGAAAATGTCGAAGGATCGGCTGGTGGTAAGAAATAGTTAACCAACTTTACCAATTTTGTTTTGCCTGATGAATTTGGTACTTGATCGGACGGGAGTGTTGGAATATCGGGTGAATCATTCGATAATGGTATACCGATAAAAGATTCAGCATTGGCACTAGAACAAAATACAAACTCTAAAAAAAGAATAAGTTATATTTCATTTATAAAAAAGATTGATAATAAAACGTCAGAAAAATCACGATCAAAACATACCTTCAAGAGTATTTGTTTGTCTGATCAAAGTTTGGACTACTATTCCCATTATACCAGCAATAGCAACCATCAGGAAAGGACATAAAGTTATGCAACAGACATTGGTAAACATTTGTCGTTTTTGGTAAGAAAGTGTTTTTCGAGTCTAGTCAATAATTTAATTATAGTTAATATTGATCGGTACGGATAGAAAATTACTGGAAAATTGTATCTGGTACCAATACTACTGCTAGATTAACATTTTAAAAAGAATAGCAATGAGAGAATAATATACCAAAGCTCGAAATTGAAAACTCTTTCTTTCTTGTTTTATGATCGGAACTTTTGCTGCAAGATCAGATATAACAGTACTACTACCTTGACATTTTATGAATCAAATAGACCCGCCTTTATTAAACAGGAAAAAAAAAGACCAAAATAATTCTTAATAAAATATCATACCATTTTCAATTATATTCATATTACTCTCATGATTTGAAATTGAAATTTCAGCATCGGTAGTAGAATTTTCATCGCTAACGCTTGATTTAACATTTTGATTATCAGATTGAATAAGTGTGGGTTTTATATTTACATAAGAACTCGAACTGTTGTCTGTCATTGTTCGTTCTTCGGGTGATTACAGACAGACTTAACAGCGGAATATTTGATTCATTCGTTTATTATAAATTTTTTTTAATATATATTTTTTGTTAATCTTTATTATATTTTATTATTATTATTGCTTGAATTCCAACAAAGCCAACAAAGAGTTATAAACGTAACAAGATAATAATTGTATGGTCTTAACTCCTTGCTAAGCAAATACCAAATACCAAATATATATAATGCTATATAATTCGGTATAACATACTAATTATGGAAGTCAAAATTTATTACATACTCGTACGTATCCATACTGTATTTGAATTCATCGATATCTTGCAACTAATTTTCCGAGTGGAAAAAGGGAATTCAAATTATCCGTAATTAATGTTTTTATTAACCACATATAAATACGTATATATACTATTTTATGTCCTAATTTTTCTTTTGGTGACACACTCATTTCAATGAAATAAACTTTTATGTACCCTTGTAACACTTATAATGGTATCAATTATCGAATAGTAAAATAGTATGGTACGCAAACTTAAGTTAGAACATTTGGAAATCATACAATACGTACAGTTTTTGAATTCAAGACTAAAGTTATTTTTTTCATTTACCTTAACACGAAAAAGGACTAACTTCAATCCTTATCATTACAAATTAACCACAAAATTTAGTATAATTTTTTCGGATGTCTATCCGAACCTGTAATACCATACTTCGTATACCGATACTATTATACTAATGCTTAAAGTTTTTTAAATGACCTAAACAAGATTATTAAAAATGATATATGTACCGAATCGACTACACAATAAACATAACAATTCAAATATCCTGCCAGTATTTCTACATTTGGGAGTTTCGGAATTTAACTCCGTGATTTCGGGTAATCCGTTATCCTGTTGATTGGTGTAATAAATTAGAATTCATTGATTACGCATTTGCCATATCACCCTCTTGGCTTCAACAGGAGGAACTGTCGATGTTACACGACTGATTCTTCACCCGGTGTGCAACATATGAAAAAATTATTTTACAACACTGCTAGTACATGTTATGATTATAATCTAGCTCCATTTTTATTATAATTAAATGGTTTTGGATTATAATCATTACATAATGATCTGATATTTTAAAATAATTTTTTTATATGTTGCACACCTGGTGAAGAATCAGTCGTGTAACATCAATGGTCATTGTTACTATTTTGTTAGTGTTAGGTTTTATTGCTATAATTATCTGTATACGTACGTATACTGTATAGTTCAAATTTCATTATTAGGCAAGGATAAAGCATAAGAGGGGAATATTTCATAGTACTTTCGATGATTAACTGAAAACAAAACGGTGGAGTTTCAAATATTAGTGCATGAATTCTAAATTTTAATATGAAAATGGTAAAGTCGTACAATACCATATAAATGAAATTGTCATTGAGATGTGAATCAATAGAATGCGTAGCAGATTTTTATTAATAATTGTGATTAGACAATTCATAAAGCAATTTTGTTACAAATGCCATTCTTCAATCTATGTGTTATTTGTAAATTAGGAAACAGAACATTCTTAATTAAACGTTCTTTGTATTAAATCATAATACACTTTAAGTTTAATTATAGATTAAATTTTAATTATAATTTTAAATAATTTTAAATATTTTGTTTATTAGTTTTTAATTTTTTTAACTTTAGTTATAATGTTAACACTTTATTAGGACTCAATTTTTACATTACATTATACGTATTGCAGGATCAATTAACAACCTAATCTCCAAGCCTGGCTCTATTAGTGCCCAAGTGTAACTTTACATGGTGCCTAAATTCGGTCGATTTACGGCATTACGGCATTACTGCATTTTTTATATTTTCGGCATGCTGCTTCAAAATGTCTAAATGCCGAAATTACAGCTGTTATCATAAATTCTGGGACACCTGGCAAAAATTAGCCGAATGATTTTTCGGCCGATCCGGTTAA